AAAAAAAAAAAAAAAAAAAAAAAAAAAATCTAGATCACTGCTTCCCGCTTCTCATTCCAAGCTCACTTTCACATATATCAAGGAAAAACACAAAAACAAACATTCTTTTACGATCTTCAAGGCTGGGTTGCTGAACAGAATGATTTCTGTTCTGTGCTTCAGATCATCATGCGAGACATCCACAAGGAATAGATTGTTAACACAACACAGCAGAGAGGCATCACAGTGCAAAACAAGAGACAGAGGGCAAGGAGACATAAAGATGCTAGAAATCACTAGCAGATCAACACATCAACTTCTGTATCACTGCAAAGGAATTGTGGAGTCATCCCCTGTCCCTCCAGAGAACAGTAAGAATACTGAAATAGCTAAAAATATTAAACCAATGATTTCAAGATTGCTGTGAGCAATCAAAGTGTCTCTGCAAGTTGTAGTCCTAGGCAGCTGAAAATCTACTTCCCCAAATAATTTTGCAGTCAGATCAGTTCCCGCATCCAATTCAATCCAGACCTGCAGGAGTGCTCATACAAAGACTACACAACTACTTTGCTTAAAGGACAGGACCGCTTAAAGCACTCATGAAAATTCAGCCAAAGTTTAGGGCAAACAAAACACCACAATGGTGTTGTTGAAGTCATAACTTCTGGAAGCAAGTATGCAACAAGGCTTGAAAAAAACCCTGCATCATTTGAGCTTCCAGCAGGAAAAGAAAAGCTATTTCAGCAGACAGCAGTGCATGAGAACAGGCTGGCCAAGAATAAACTGAGGCTGGGTGTTAAAAGGTTTCTGACCGTCAAAGGCCCGATGTCCTGAGGCCACTTTCCAAGAGCAGGAGTGAAGCTGAAAAACCACAAACAAAAGACCCTGGCTAATTTCATTCAGGACGCTTTATAAAATTTTGTCCCATATTGTGCAGGCTTGTCAGTGACCCAAAATGCTCTTTCCTGTTTTGGGAGCTGTGGATGTCTTAATGAATTCAAGACAAAAATGTTTTCTCTGACAACGGCCCCTGCTTCAGCCTCCTGGCTACCAGAGCTACGTTGCTTGCAAATACTGCACAGGGACCAGGGAAGGGGGCAGAGGGGCCACGAGGAAGGCCCGCCCCGAACGGCAGCAACACGTGAATGCAGCAAGGGAATTATCAACGGCAAGAACAGCAGGAACTCACTTCTGCTGTGACGTGACTCCTAGCAGGGCATTCCAACCACACAATTTCTGCTATTTCCAGAGACAGGCCAGAATTCACAGATTCTATGCATGTTACTATCACAAACCAAATAGGATTAAGAAACAGGAAATCCTTCCTTCCATTCTCAACTTATTCAGTGCAATTAAGGCTTGATGTCTTGGTAGATTCTTCAATGCCTATAAAATCTCTCAATCCTAGAGTTTTTGCTTTCAGCAACAGAAAGAGTTGATGTAACCTCCTCTAATAAAAGTCCTTCCACCAGTATAAGTCAGTGCAAGCTGAAACTGCCAGAGATAGATATGATTTATAATAGTTATGAATGTACATTATTTTGCATTTACTAGCTTTACTGTTGTTTTTAAAAAAAAAAAAAAAAAAAGGTTTATGTTCCAATAGTTTCTTCTGCCAAAACCACCTTTTGAGCCCAATGACAAGACGCTACTGGAAAAGCTATTTATCTGTGCTATTGCACAAAAAGGTAACTCCCATGTAAGAGAGCCTCGGCATGACAATTCATCTACAGGCTTGAGCATCACACATTGTCAAACCCAATTCTCAATATTTGCAGTGTTATATCAAAATGCTTTTTTGCTTCCATCAGAGCTGCCTAAGATTCTGACACAAAAGCCTGACCGGTAATAATCAGAGAAAAGAAATCACACAGAAATTTCTGATTCATCAAAAACAGGAAATCAGTAAGAAAGATTTTGCTTTTTGCTCAAATTTCTTGTTTTTTTTTCTCAGTTTTTCAGAAGTTGGTTTGTCAAATTTAACCTATTTGAAGATCTGTGATGTTCACTTCAGAGAAAAAAAATCTAAATCATAAAAACATTATTCTGATAGACCTTTTCACATTTTTTGATTCGCTTATCTTTAATTAAAAATTCACTTTCATCAAACCAGGCAAGTAATGTTTCAGACTTGCAACATTCTCCCAAAGTACGGGAGCTGTTCTCCAAAGGTGTCCCACATACTCGCGTCCTCCCATTCCCAAGTGCGTGGAGCCCAAACAGGCTAAAGTCACTCTCAATCAGCACACCAAACACAGAGGCGGCAGGGCAGAGGAGACCGTTTCCTTCACGCCCTGCATCTCAAGGGGGCAGATATGAGCAGAGCCCTGATTCACCACGAGACAAGGCTGTTCACAGGATACGCTGCCTCCGCTTCTGCCCTGCTCCAGGTCTTCTCCCAGAAAGACGCTGCGTTCAGGAACGTCGGGCAGCACCTTACTGTGTTCAAGTAAGGCTGCTTGGCACTTCTAGATGTGAACACTAGTAATGCACAAGGAAAGTCCTATCATTAACTTGCCAAGCTGAACACCAATAATGAAAGGACTTTTCCTCGAGCGCTAACTCGTCACGTTGTGGCAGACCTGGTGGCCCAACAGCAGCGTAGAGCCTAAGCACACTTGGCTTTAGTTAGAGGTTGGTTAGTTCACCAACCACTAGTTTGGTTAAGCAGACACCCCAAGCTTTTACCTTCTCACCACCAGCTTGAGCGTCTTGTGCGAGCCCTTCACCAGGCAGATGGCTTCTTGTCGGAAGCCGGAGAGGCCCACGTCGTTGATGCCCACGATCTCGTCCCCGGCCAGGAGCTTGTCCACAGCTGCAGCCTTGCTCCCGTCTTCGATCTGAGGGAAAAGCGCATCACGTGGCACAGTTACTGAGGGTGAACAGCCACGTCTTTAAAATAAGATAGTGAGTTTTTAAATGTTTGGCTTCATACAATAGCTACGGCACTACCTAGATGGTTAAAATAATTTAAAAATACACTCGAAAAGGCTACAAAGCAAAAACAATGACACACAAGACACAATAAGGAAGGAAAGGAAATGCAACAGAGGAAGTTTCCTAACAAGACTAGAATACATGGTGGAAATTGGGGAGTCAAAAGTGTTTGGGATCCTTGACCTTTGTTTCATATAGTTCAGTTAATCAAACTTTGAAGAGATATTTTAAATTCTGATTCTCTAAAGAAGTTACCTATAATATTAACCATATAGTCAATAATAATAAACATATAGTTAACCCTCAAAAAGTCTGGCATGCAATGAAACCTGAAAATACTGTGAAACAAGCTCATACAGACGATTAATTTTTATCAGCCATGTAACGTTTAGGAAAACGCCTGAAAATTTACAACCCGTATGGCTAATAGGCAGTTCTGGCTAGAAGGAAAGACAACGGTCTGAGATCCAAGAAAGGAAACCAACGTGTCACACTGCTTAAAAACACAGCAGTACTACGGGTGGACAGAAAGTTACTTTGCTGCCACTAGAACTGCTCTCATCTATTCTTTATTATTATTAACCAGAGTTATTCATAGCATGCACTGAAACACACACATGATAAATTAAGGAATTCAGGTTTTGGCAATTCTCATCCCTATGCAGGAAAACACAGTCAGCAGGAGTCACACATCTTTTAAATTTAAAGCAACCCCCCAAAGCTTGATCAGCCAGACTGACAAGTACCAACACTGATGTCAAATACAGCTGTAGGTGTTGAACACTTTGCAATTCAGACCTTTGGCTTTCTTAGGTTCTTCCCTTTTCTTTTCCTGTCAACACGGCTTCCTGCCTTTCAGTTGCTTGGGCTCATGACCTAGGAATTTAATTTTTTATTTCTTCCCCACTTGCTGACAATCCATATCCCACCTCTTCTTATAGATTTGACAACCTTCAAAGCAAAGATTTTTCTTTATGTCTTCATTATATTTTACCTTTGCTACTACACTATCTCTGGCTCACCCTTTATTAAATACCAGTTAGCCTACAAGGAAAAAGTCTTCATAATGGGCTTAGCTGCAGAGAGCTTCATAAAGAACTGCCACCTTCTCAGACACCAAAGTTGATCAGCCAGGAGATAAATCCACAGGGAACAACTTGAGGAGCTCTGAAGCTCATGCTGCAGGCTTTGGGGCACTCCAACAACAGAAGTCTACATTAAGTAACTAATGAAATAAGCAGTATCTCTTGATGCAAGTACATTAGCATGATCTCATGAAGTGCAGCCATCTTACTACCTACAAAAAAAGTTCTTTAAAGTTCTTTATTTACATTTAGTGGAAATGTTCTTAAAATATATTCAAACCCAAAAATCCAAGCCAACGAGAACATCAAGATTGAGGTTTAGTGCTGAACTCCACTCTGAAGCCATGGCTATGGATAGTACTCAAGCAATTTAATTTCCAAAATTTATCTTGGAAATATACAGATAATTAAAGACAAAGTTTCTGTATCTCAGCACCCTGGTTTTCAAGCTGCTACCTGCCTCTGACCTGCTTGCATATGCTCTGAGCAGCTACCGGAATTCTGAACTGCAGACTCTGCAGTTCACATCCACAGCAAAGTTGAAAGAGAGGAAGCTACAGGAGAAATCACTTACATGTAAGAGAAAAGTTTAGTTCAGTGGATTTCAGTCCTGAATGGTGCCAGAGGAGAAACCTATGTCAGTGAGGTCAGGTCAGACAGGGCTGAGGAGCAGGACAAGCAACCATGGACCTTAAGGCCTCCTAAACAGGCAGTCTCAAACTCTTCAAGAGTTCAGAAGCATTTCTGGATTATTTCTAAACACACTGTATTTGAAGGTGTAAAAAGGGGGGAAAAAATGCTGAGGTAAAGCAGGGCTGAACCACTGGAAGTGCTGGGGGCAGGGAGAGGAGCTGCGGCCCTTGCGCTCGCAGCAAGGTACCCCTAACCAAGCGGGGTAGGAAGCTTGTGTGCCCCACAGAGACCTTCCGAGGGCTTTTCTCCCCTCCCTAAGAAAAAAAGAAAAAAAAGAGAGAAAGAAGAAAAAAAAAAAAGAGAGAGAAGTCGGTCTCCTAGGGCTCCCAGGAATGTTCATTGTTCCCGGGAGCTGTTTGTTTTTCCTTCAGGCTGGCAGCGCGCGGCCGGCCGGAGTTTGCAGTTACCCCCTCCGAGTTTTCATTTCGGCAGGAAGGCTCCACATTCCACACAGTGCAAGCTTTCCAGAAAGACTCTGTCTGTCCAAAACAACATTAATCAAAAGGAAAAAAAAAAAAAAAAAAAAAAGATAAGAAAAATATCAAAACGGAGGCACAAAGTTGCGGCACTCCTTGTGAAAGCTGGAAGCGGCCCTATCGTGACACCACAAAGGGAAGGGTGGCTAGGAGGAGCAAAAACTATGCAGTCCTTGATGGTGAAAACCTCCTTGAGCTGAACAAATTTAAACACAAATCTTTTCTACTAGTTTTAAACTCACGTCACTGAATGGCTGCCTGAATGTGATTTCATTTGACAGTGCATTTTTAGTAGAAACACCTACATTAGCTACACAGGAAAAATGGGATTTCTTGGGATACACTGAAGCCTTTTAATTGTGACAGCTAAGAAGTTACTGACTTTTCATCCATCTAAAGAAACACAACTAAAAACATCCCTGAGAAAATGATTCTTGCAAATTGCTGCACCGCTCACCTTCCTCCTCTACTCAAACTTGTGCAGGGCCATTCTAGGGTCTCTCACAGGTTTTCTCCTATTATTTCCATTGTTTACAGTTTTTATATGTTAACATGCTGGTAACTTCACACTCGGCCTTCCCTAAGAACTGCAAATTCCAACCAACATACATAAATATTTTAGCACCAGCAAATGCACTTGAAAATTTCACATTGCAAAATTATACGCTTAGGATTTAACTCCCCAAGTTAAAAGCAAATATTCACGACAAAACATTTTATCTAACACACACCCAACATCTTCCTGAATTACAGGTATCCTGAAAAATTGTCAGTCAGTATCGCCAAATAAAGCCTTGAAAATGCAGAAGAAGGTTTTAAGATAAAGCCCTTCATGAAAAGTCATCAAGAACAGATCTATCCCTGCCACTGAGCGAGCAGGCATCGGGAAGATAAGACTGAGCCAAATTCTCTCCCTGCAGATCCTCTCCTCAGTCTGGAATACTTGCAGGAGCTGTGTCCTTAAAGTATACATCTTAACATTTTTATAATAACACCAGGAAACAAAACTCAGCCAAGATAACCAACATCCCTATTTACTTATAAATAAAGGATCTGAACCTTCAAAAAAACATGTGTAATTACACCACATACTTTGGATGAATAAAGGAAGCATTCTAGAAACTCCCTCAAGCTGCTCTTTTAATATGTATAAGTTATACTCCTCTTATTATGCTGAATTAACAAGAATAAACAGCATGACTTTCTATCTTTACCAGAGATGCTGATATTGCTACAGAAGTGTGTTTTCAAGAGGACAGGAAGAGGATGTTTGTTGATAAAAAGCATCTATTTAGACAATATTCAACTCTCACTTTGCTCTCCCAATGACCTCTCGGTGACCAAGAGCAAAGGCGGATTTTGGGATATATTTGAGGACTACAAACTCTGATTTCTGCTGTTATAACTGTAATCATACTAACTACTAGATAGATCTGCCCACATTTATATTTGCTTATAAAAGATATCCCCAAAATAGGAAGTGATGCGGATATAAGATGTACAAGTAGATAATGGTTAGGACAAAAACAATATTAATGGCAAAATATGTGTTGTAGAATGGTTTTTTTGTGTGTGTGTGAAAAGGAGAGCAGAACTTCCAAAAGGAGAGAGACGGGGAAAAAAGGTGGAACAACTAGATACACAAACATATTCAAAGGACACGTGCTGACATGTAAGAAGGGGGAATAAATAATAGCCTATGTTTGTAACTTTAAATGGATGTAGGGTTGACAAAGGTGCACCATTCTGGAACGCGATCCATTAACTTCTGTGTTTATCAAGCCTGATGCTTTCTTTTAAATACCCACATTCTTCTATATACACCTGTATAAACAAGCAGGAGTCAAGTTGGGGAAGTGCAGTGTCACACAAGATATCAAGTTTCGTTTACAAATGATGACATTGCATCAGCTTCTTGTCCGTTCTCTCTTTGGACAGTGTGGGAGACGGGATGAAAACCCAAACCCAGAGACAAACACAGGAAAAAACAGCTCTGTTTATCAGCATTCTGATATCAACAGTGATAAACGATTTTATCATAATCAGCAGTCAAGAAATGACCCTGTGGTCATTTGTTTTCTTAATATCCAATATAATTATTCCTTTTAAAAAAACAATCACTTTCAAACGAGATCTTCAGAACAAGTAAAATTGAAGGAAATGTTAATTATTTTGAGTTGCACTGAGTCATACATACAAGAAGAAAAACCTTCACAGTTAAAGCTTGGCATTTGTGCCATTTGGAGGATGCAGCAGAAAAGCAAGAGAACTGAAACGATCTGCAGATCCTGCCTATCACAGAATCACAGAATATTCAAGGTTGGAAGGGACCTCTAGAGATCATCTAGTCCAACCTTCCCGCTCAAGCAGGCACACCTAGAGCATGTGGCACAGGGTGGCGTCCAGGCGGATTCTGAAGACCTCCAGAGAAGGAGACTCCACAACCTCCCTGGGCAGCCTGTGCCAGGGCTCTGTCACCCTCACAGGGAAGAAGTTCCTCCTCACCTGGAGATGGAACTGCCTGTGTTTCAGCTCATGCCCATTGCCCCTTATCCTATCACTGGCCACCAGTGAAAACAGCTTGTCCCCTTCCTCCCTGCATTCTCCCTCCCTGAACTTATATATGTTAATCAGATTCCCTCTCAGCCT